TGGCTAAGGGTGCAAAGGCTTATTTTTGCATTATTTAGCTTAAATGGTTAAGGTTGCATGTTCATGATTGAGCCTACTACCACCATGAAGGTGCTTTTGCATAGTTTACTTGCCATTTTCTGTGACATCATTAATTTCAACTAAACTTCTGATTTACCACTCTTCGTCCTCTTTAGAAATGTGGATATATAGATATCTTGAGGAGACTGATTTTACCAGAACCAGATCTTTTTCTTTGGCTTGCCGAGTGAGGGAATAATTTAATTTGAATCATTGCTTACAGAAATTAGGTGCAGATTGTATGGCAGATGTAGAGTCTTGTTTTTCTCCAGATGTGCAAGTATCTAAATGCTCTATTCAGATCACGATTCATTTTTTTTTTGCACTTGTTCAGATGTTGGGTCATGCCATATTGGCTTCAATATTATGGGGTCGTGCCAAATCTGTCAACCTGAAGAGCAAAGCTGCAATAACATCCTGTTATATGTTTATTTGGCAGGTAATCTATTTTCCTTTTTGGTTAATTTTGTATTGAATGTTTAAATCTATTTTACTTTTGTTGTATTATTAGATCTAATTACTTGATATTTTTAGATATTGCTTAATGAACATCATAGTTGAAGTAGATGAATTTAACAAGAGTTTTGTGAATAGGAAGACAATCGAATGGCATGTAAATGTGACCATGTCAAGTACTGGTCTTCCTGTCATCCTCTACATTTTTTCTATTTTACATATTTAAAGCAAACAGCTTTGCTTTGTCAATTCTGCCTTCATTAGCTGCAACTCACAATGCTAGACCATTTTGGCATTTGAAACATGCCTGGTCACTGAAATTCTGTGCTTTTGCTTACACATAAAGGCACATATTACTTCTTATGATAGTCATGTATTGAGCTAAAAATATCTTGCTTGCAAGTGAATACCAAGTTAATTTGACTAGTACTGGTTTTACCACGAGTTTGTATTTTATAATGAGATCTAATGGTAAAGAAAGTACTAGTTAATATGCTTGATACTGAATAATTCGCAATAGTTAGATCCTTGTTTAGGTTCTATTTACTTGAAATTTTTGAACTTGATGGATTAAATGGTTTTTGTTTAGAATACTACGACATATAGTGAATTTCATATGGAAGCAACCAAGTGTTAAATTCCAAACTATTTCAAAAATTCCAAAAGAAAAAGTTTAAGCTGTACCTTGCAGTCTTGGTTGTGTTTCTCCTATTCTGATGATACAACTGAATCATACAAAATAGTTTCAAGTACTGCAATTTGCCCGAAAATTCATAGTTATTTGCGATTGAATTCCTTATTCAATTTATTTACAAATAAAATACAATTTTATTGCCTAGCTTTTCCAAACAAAATCTTTGGCGGCGAATTGATGATAGCTTGTTTTTCTATTGCAGCTCTTTTATGCTGAGTACATGCTGATACCATTTGTGAGGTGATTAGCAGAGAATTTAGTTATTCAGAGACGAGGAAGGACTTGTCTTTCTGTTGATCTCTTAAGTGAAAATGCATTGAGTCCAATTGGGAGCAGATGAACATGTAAAATTTAATAAATATTGATTGAAGTTCAGTCAATAAGATGGTGTATTGTTGGATCTTATCATAAAATATTAACTTTTTTTTTTAATTTCCTTCAATTAAAAAATTAACTTTTTTCTTTTATATCAATTTGAATCTGGCCGTCAACAAACTAAAAAAAAAAAAATCAGAAAAAATATCCTTGCTTGAAGCACAAGCTCATGATAATCAATAGTCAATTTAATTTACTATTATAATCAACCTAATTTACTATTTACTTTTGACTTTATCTGAGATGTAAATTCTGGCCATCAGCCATTAATAAAGAAAAAAACATAAAAAATATCCTTGCTTGAAGCTCAAGCTGATGATAGTCAATAGTCAATAGTCAATTTAATTTACTATTATAGTAAAGTAAAATATGCAAAATAGTATAAACAGGAGGGAGACTAAGGAGAGAAATGGAGAGCCGTTTAAATTTTAAAGCGAGTTCCAATATTAATATTAACATTAATTAATTAATTTATATTTGTGCATACTATATATTCCGGCATAAATTTAAAAAGCCCCGTGTCTCCGCTACTCCGTTACTTAAAACCCTAGCTTCCTTGGCGGCACTCTTATTATCTTCTCGCTCGGAAAGAAGTTCCAACAGAAAAGGCTTTGTCTCTCCCCTCACCCTCTCAAGCGAAAATGGAGGGATCTGTGGAGGAAACCGCGAAATCAGTATCGGAATTGACAGTGGATTCATCGTCCTCCGAGCCGGCAGTTTCTACTGAAACACAGAGCAAGAAGTATGTTCCTTAGGATCCTGTCTTTTCTCCGTTGTGTGAGATTTTGTTTTCGGAAATGTTTATTGTCTTGCTCTGTCTTTTTAATTTTTATTTGTCGGTGTTTCTTAACTTTGTTTTAGATGTGGCGAATTGTGAACGAGGAAATGAACTATATATATATATATATATATAAATTTGCTCTTGCAATCTTGATTTATTTGGTTGCACAAATGCAGTTTTCGAGTTTATAGCTGGCACTTTTGATGATTTTGGTTTGCGGTTATATTGTCTTTGCAGTGCTCGCAAGAAGGAATTGAAGAGCAAGCAGAGGGAAGAAGAGAGAAGACGTAAAGAGGAGGAGAAGGCTAAACAGGTGCTCTTTGTGGAATGAGGATTTTCTGATTGCTTATTTCGGAATTTTAGTGGTGCTACCATTGAATCTCTCTTCATATTTGACTTCAGTGAAATACCTCTTAATATTGCTACCAAGTATTTATAAGTCACTCAATGCTGTTTATAACAATATATAGCCGTTGAAGTGGTTAAATTAGTCTGAAAGGGATCATCTGGGGATGTTTTATTGCTGGTTTAGTATTTATGTGACGAATAGTTTTGACCAAATGCTGCTTTCTATCCTTTCATATTATTTGGAAAGTGAAATATCCATATAAATATTTAAAGCATCTAGAGCTTAATGCATCTGGATGCACGTTTTCATATGATAAATGAAATACGATACAGCAGATCGTCTAGAACATAACTAATCT